ATGCACGCTGTTCGCAAGGAGTCGAGCTCAACTACGAAAATTCGAGCAGTCTTTGATGCCTCTGCGAAGTCATCGTCTGGGGTCTCACTGAACGACACACTCATGGTTGGACCAACGGCTCATTCCTCACTCATCGACGTTCTACTCCGATTTCGATTCCATCGCATCACTCTCACGACAGATGTCAGTCAAATGTACCGAGCAGTGGAACTCACATCGCCGGATCGAGATCTGCACCGATTTGTCTGGAGGAACGATCCTGATGACCAATTGTGAGATTATCGTATGACTCGCGTGACCTTTGGTGTCTCTGCCTCATCCTTTGCTGCCAACATGCCAGTCAAGCAAAACGCTCTCGACCTCTCTCTTGAGTACCCACAGGCAGCAATGGCCGTAGAGAAATCTTTCCACGTGGATGATGGTCTAACTGAAGCAAATTCTGTCGAACAAGCAATCGAGTTGCAACGGCAACTTCAAGACCTCTTCCCGAGAAGAGGTTTCCTGCTACGTAAGTGGAACTCCAACCAACATGCCCTTTTGCAACGCCTGCCATCTGAACTGAAGGACACCCAATCAACTCATGCACTTCCAAGCCCGGACAAGTACACCAAGACTCTCGGTATTGAGTGGAACTCAACTACTGATCAGTTTCGTCTCTCGATCTCAGAGCTACCCCCTCTCGACTGTGTCACCTCATGTCTGATGTTGCGAAGACGTTCGACATACTAGGATGGTTCTCTCCCACCATCATCAAGGTGAAAATCCTGATGCAACGTTTGTGGGAACTAAAAATTGACTGAAAAGACCCATTGCCCCAAAACATACATGACGCCTGGTTACAATGGATATTAGAGTTGAAGCTTCTCTCCGACAAGCACCTTTCCCGCTGCTACTTCCCAGATGCAGTCAATGTTGTTGCTGTTGAGCTACACGGATTTAGTGATGCAGTTGTCGTTTACCTCCGTATGATTGACTCAACCGGAGGCATCCATCTCTCGATTGTGACGCCATTCCTTGTGTGGTGCTTATTTACTTGCACAATTGCTGCATCACATTCAGCATGCATTCAATCTACCACTGAACTGCATCTATGCCTGGACTGACAGCACCGTCATCCTGAGCTGGCTCGTCGGCAGTCCGAGACACTTCAAGACATTTGTCGGGAATTGAATTTCACACATTGTTGAACTGATCGCACCTGACCGATGGAGACACGTCAATGGAACAGACAATCCCGCAAACTGTGCCTCCAGGGGCCTTTTCCCCTCTGAATTGTTGAATCACGTTCTCTGGTGGAACAGTCCAGAGTGGCTGAAGTTTCCCTCCACTGACTGGCCTAAGCTGTCAACTATTCCAGATGTGGGACCATCAGACGAGGAAAGAGAAGTGTGCATCCACTCTGTTCTACATCGGAAGCCCCCTCTCATTCCACTGGATCGTTTTTCCAGCTTCACTCGTTTCTGGTATGTTACCTCCTGGATCCTCCGCTTCGTGAACAACTGCCATTCTTGCGATGCTGCCAGAGTATCGTCACCCCTCTCCGTCCAAGAGCTGTCCTTAGCCGAGAATTACTGGCTGCGTCTCGCTCAGGAAGAGAATTTCACGCAAGAGATCCAGTCACTCAGGACGGGTCGCACTTTGACCATATCCAGGAAGCTGGAGTTCTTCGCGTTTGTGGCAGAATACAAAATGCTCAGTTCTGCTATTCAGTTCGTCACCCAGCTGTTCTACATGGCAAACATCAAGTTACGAAGTTGATAATCTACTCCGAGCATCTACGTTTGCTCCACGCTGGACCCACACTCGTCGCAGCATCTCTCAGCCGTCGCTACCACATTATTGGATCACGCAAAGCTGTGTATTCCGTCACCTGTGGCTGCATTACGTGTCGTCGAACATCCGCGATGCCTCAACCTCAGATGCTGGGCCAATTGCCTCCTGAGCGTCTCATGCCCGGTTCGGTCTTCGAGAACGTCGGTGTGGACTATGCTGGTCCTGTCTACATCAAGTATGGTTTTGTCTGTAAGCCTACCACCGTCAGGCATACATTTGTGTCTTCGTGGCTCTTGTCAGTCAAGGCCGTTCATCTGGAGCTTGTCTCTGATCTTACCACGGAGGCCTTCATCGCCACACTCCGTTGATTCATTGCCCGTCACGGTCAACCGTCTATTATTTGGAGTGATCATGGCACTAACTTTGTTGGTGCTTCTCGAAAACAAGAAACTCATTCAATTCTTGGATAAAAAAAGGACACAAGGAGCCATTTCAGAGTTTTGTTCTGCACAGAATATCGAATGGAAGTTCATCCCGAACGTGCTCCTCACTTCGGTGGTCTCTGGGAAGCAGCTGTCAAGAGCCAACACCAAGTTTACCTTTGAAGAGTTCACTACCATCCTCACGCAAGTCTGTCTAAATAGTCGCCCCTTAACTCCAATGTCCTGTGACTCTGATGCTGTCGAAGCTCCTGATCGGGAAGTCGGTGGAATCGCTGCCCGATACGTCTCTTTCATATCGTGCTCTCCCGCTACTTCGTCGCTGGCATCTGTGTCAGTCCGTCGTTCGGCACTTCTGGCAGAGGTGGTCAGCTGAGTATGTCGCCAGTCTTCGATGTCTAACCAAGTGGCAGCACCCGACCAGGAACATTCAGATTGGAGGTGTTGTCGTTCTGCAGGAGGTCCCTACCAAATGTCCCCTCGCTCGAGTCGTCCACGTTCACGTCGGCAAGGACAAATTGGCACGTGTCGCTGTGGTAAAGACAATCACAGGGATCTACAAACGACCTATCACCAAGATGGCTCTTCTTCTGCCCTCACAAGAGTGAACCTTATTAATGAACATTTTCGGTTATTCATAATTGTATCACTATAATGTTTACTTAAAGACCATCCGGGTCTTGGTCGGCGGTATGTTGTGTCATGCATTTCGTATCATTGTACGTAAAATTAGAGTCAGTTGAGAATTTTGAGTAATGGTGGACCATTCTGGTCGCGAGTAGCACTCGCTTTATCCGTCTCCATCGAGAAAGAGCTCAAACAACCTCAAACTATAGTAGCTAGTGTGTTTGCCTTTGACATTGCATGTGAGGCAGCCAATGTGCGGATAGTTAATTGTTTTCTGTGTTAGTCAATGTTTTCAGTGGGTGCCAAAAGGTTGTAGCAGGTGTCTCCCTCATTGACTACCAGGATATACCTAGAACACTAGCTGATACTGGTCATGATAGATACCAACGCCAACTGGAATACTCCATACATGTAGCCCTATTCCTTTGCTACAGACTGGTATAGGTGTCGAGGGGGGCACAAAAATGCCCTGTGTTCAACCGCGCACTTGTCGCGATTGCTTTACAACGAAACGTGTCGGGGCTGCCACTTGAAATTGCTGCAGAGTTCTTTTGCCAAGTATTGCTCATTTTTTCAGAGAAGAGTAGGAGCAACTCACAGGAAATTGTGTCAGGATTAATTAACTTTCTGCTACACTTTACATTTTTAAGTCTGCATACTTATTGCCGGCGGAACAACGGTCTTGTTGTGAGGGAAAATCCAGGCAACGCTAATTTCTCACCTTGTACATAGCGACTAGCCAGCTATTCCCTTCACATCAGCTTTGAGCCAGGTTTTGCAATACAGGGAGCTGTACTACACTTATCACTTGACAAGCATATAATTATTAAGTTGCACACATTTCTTTTTTTTACTGTAGTAGGCATTGAAGACAGACCCAATTGATCAACCAAAGGACTGGTTGTGTCGCCATGTCTGTCACTTTGCAATACAGCAAAATTTTATCTTATAATTATAGCTCCTCTCTGTGTGTACTTCACTTGCCTGAGATAGCTCCTTTGGGTTCGAAATCTTGCCCTTGTGAGATATAATTGATGTTTTGCCTACACTGCAAGCCCCTGACCTTTTCATGTTAGTTTAATAGTTATGAGTTAAAGAAGCAGCACTTTTGTACCCGAAATCATCTCACACAGGTTGCAGTCTTCCTGAAACAAGCAATGGAAACTAACAAATAATTATCGTTAAGTTACACAGAGCATTAGCTCAAGTTTTTAGTCAAATCAACACAAAAGATGTACACATTGACCCTGAGCAATAGACCAGTTTCACGAACGGCACAAGGAATGCATTAGTTTTAAATTGAACGTGACGTCACATCCGGAGTCCCGTTCTGGCTCCAGCAATGTATTGCGTTCTACGGAGAAAATGGAACTGTCCGTACTTAGAGCGGCGTAGCGCGTAGCTCTTACGGTATGCTCTATTTATAAGCTACTTTTGCGATATTACAGTAACTGTAGTATGCGTAAGAAAAAGAACGGACGCTCTAGCTTGTTCCTGCGCGGAGATCTGGGCTGAGAAAGGATAGTTGTTAGCATCATAACTGGAAATCGATGTGTTCTGTGTGACTCTACACGTGCAACAGACCCTGGAGCCTCTTTTCCCAGGTTAAGCTGAGGCTCCTTGCTCTGGTCTCCACCAGGAAAGCGTCGGCTACACAGCCGAGAATATGGCGTCAGCACCTAGCTGTAGATTTGCAATCCACCTCGCTCTCGCCGTTTTTCAGCCGGGGAACGGTGAAAAGAGGCTCCAGGGTCTGTTGCACGTGTAGATCCACACAGAACACATCGATTTCCAGTCATGATGCTAACAACTATCCTTTCTGAGCCCAGATCTCCGCGCAGGAACAAGCTAGAGTGTCCGTTCTTTTTCTCACGCATACTACAGTTACTGTAATATCGCGAAAGTAGCTTATAAATAAAGCATACCGTAAGCGCTACGTGCTGCGCCGCTCTAAGTACGGACGGTTCCAGTTTCTCCGTAGAACGCAATACATTGCTGGAGCCAGAACGGGACTCCGGATGTGACGTCACGTTCAATTATCTCGCCCACTTTACGTGCCATGCATACTTTTGCATTCGTGAAACTGGTCTATTGCATCTGAATTACATATTAAGTATGTCAAAGAGCATCTTAATGCATTGACGTGGTACTTTTTTGCAGAGGCACCCACCTTTGAAGAACTTTGTCAGGGCAGTTTCATTTGTGACGGGATTTGTCATCAAACCTGCTGGTGATGGCAGTTCATTGAGTTATGTTACGCAGTCTGATCCCAAAGGTATTTTGAATTTGTTATCCTCAGCCGATTTGTGCAGCGGTGGTATTTTGCCAGTTCATATAATGTGGCTAAGAAGTTTTTTTGCAATCAGTATTAAATCTATTGTCTGACCAGTGTTCTGGGTGTGAATTCGGCCAAATTGCAGGGTGTTGCTAACTCATCATGCTTTATAGCCCCACTTTCGTATCTTTCAGCATGCTGGGTTGGCACTTATTGCTGCTTATTGCCTCCTAGCTAGATGGTTTATTCTTCACGCAAGGAGTCTCCTTCATAGCTTGCAAGTAAATTTAAAATCCTGCGAATTTAGAAAAAGTGCCATATAGGGATGGTATAAAAGGAAAGGGAGACAAGATAGGGATGGGATAGATGAAGCTGACACCCCCGATGCCACCACACAATTCATATTGTTGCTGGTGTCACTCTTTGAACTCCCTCTAACGGTGTTGGTTACCCAGTAGCATGACTTTTTTTTTGCTATGAGTCCTGACTATTGTAATGGTCAACTTCACCTAGGCAACAATCACTAAGCACGGTAGTACTTTGTATATAGAGTACCTAGCACCATAGATGTATTGGGCTATGATAGGGAGTTTTGTTCATCTTCTTCTTCAACCAGCATAACTAAAAAACCGAAACAGATAAAGCCATGAAATTTTGTAGGAATATACATATCGATAACCACATGTGCAACGTCACACGTTTTTTTGTTTGTAAACAACGTTGTTTACTGTAAACAACAACAAAAGTGCCCCAGGCAATACATTATAATGGACAATACATTTTAATGGGCATACTAGATGTGTCAGTGTAACTCACAATTGGTAATGTATTCAATAGCCAACATCAAAATCACAACAATACATGTTTGTAAACAACAACAAATAGCCTCAGGCACTTTTCTTTAAATTTACTTCTTCGCTCCTCAAACTTTCTAGTAGCACGCATAGAGATGAAACTTGCTATGTATGCCTATTATATCATTTCCATGACGATTACTTCTTTCCATGACGACCGCATATTGTTTGAAAAAGCCTCAGGCAATTTTCTTTAAAACTATTTCTTCACTTCTCAAACTCGCTAACGGTACCACGCATGGAGATGAAACTTGGTACGCATGTGTGAACATCGTTTCCATGACGACCACAACAACAAATAGCCTCAGGCACTTTTCTATAAAATTACTTCTTCACTCCTCAAACTTGCTAACGGCAGCACACATGGAGATGAAACGTGGTATGCATATCATTTCCATGACGACAACAGGCATTATTTCTCTATTACTATTTTTATAGGGGCTTGCCCCCTCCCACAGAGATAATACGTAGTAGTATATTAAAATGAGTGGGACAAGTAAATTAAAAATCCTGCGGATTTAAAAAAAAAGAGGCATATAGGGATGGTAGGGAGACAAGATAGGGATGGGATACATGAAGCATGGTTAATGAACAGATTTGAGTATGCTGACACCCCCAACCCCATCACACAATCCCTATATTGTTGCCTAGGTGAAGTATTAAACATTCACCATTACAATACTCAGAACTTGCAATACACTAATGAGTAACCAACACCCTTATATAGTCCAAGTGGAGTTTAATTAAAGGGAATGTGGCAGTATAAATGTTACTGTAAACAACAGGGACACGGTGAATGCGTAACCTTTAGCCCCTATGAGAGTATCACACCAGGCAACAATATAGGGATTGTGTGATGGGGTTGGGGGTGTCAGCATACTCAAATCTGTTCATTAACCATGCTTCATGTATCCCATCCCTATCTTGTCTCCCTTATCCCTATATGCCTCTTTTTTAAATTCGCAGGATTTTTAATTTACTCGTATATATAGGGATTGTGTGATTGGTTTGGGGGTGTCAGCTTCATGTATCCCATCCCTGCTTTATCTCCCTTTCTTTTTATATCATCCCTATATGCCTCTTTTATAAATTCGCAGGATTTTCATACACTATTATGCAAGCCCCCAATTAATTAAGTAATATAGAAAATGCCTGTTTCGTCATGGAAATGATGTAATGCGCATGTGTACCAAGTTTCCTCTCCATGTGTGCTGCTGTTAGTAAGTTTAAACATGAAATCCGCGTATAAAAGGGAAGGCATAGTCACGGGAAGATTTCTTTTTTGACGTTGCCCAACGAACAAAATGGTGCACAGAAACAAACCGCCACTCGAAAAAACACTTACTCTCACACTTCACAAGCCTCTGGAAGGCAGAATACGGTCTAAATATCTGCGCAGTAAAAAGCAAAAATCGAACTCATCCACATCTTCATACAACAAGCCAGACTCAGGTTTTTTCGCGAGCGAGTGAGCAAGAGACGGCGGCTCCGCCCAGGTGGCCACGCCCTGCCGAGTCAGCGAAAAATGAGTTTTTCACCCTTCGTCCGCAGCAGCTAGTTGTCGCCAAGAGAGGCAGCATGCCTAGCAACGGCCATCTGCTTCCTGGCCCTGCTGTCTTTCAGCTTCTTTCTTTCTGTACGCAACCTGCATCTGTGAAGAGGCTCGTTTTAGCACTGTAAGAGTAGGTTAGAGTGTGTGCGACCTGTGCAGGCGGTATTTCTGTCAGCTGTCCGTGTGGGTTTGTTTACATCAAGCTCGGCCTGCTCACATCGTCAAGTTTCGTCGTCTTTTTTTGCTTGTGTGTTTGCAGTCATGAAAGGAAGCCCGTGTTTAGTAGGGAGTAACCCGTTGGGAGCCGTGCTGTGGAAAGGCAAAGCCTCTCCTGCAACTGGATAACCACCGTCTTTCTCGCAGACGACCCATGAATAGTTTTGAGTTTTGCCCGTGACTGTGACACCCCGTTTTATACTGTGGGGTCCACCAGTTTTCAGATTTGCATCTTTTTCACGTATTTACATGGCAACAGCACGTTTAAAGAGTGAAGAAGTAAAGGCCTGAAGCTATTTGTTGTTGTTTAAGATATTTGTGGTTGTCATGGTATAATATGCATGCGTACCAAGTTTTTTCTGCTGTTTTCATGTTTGAGAAGAGAAGAAGCAATTAAGCAATAGGTGGTTGTCGTTGTAATTCGCATCTGCATCTCCATGCATGCTACCGTTAAAAAGGTTTGAGGAGTGAAGAAGTAATTAGGAAAAGATCCTGAGGCTATTTCTTGTTGTTCATACAATAAGTGGTCGTCATGGAAACAGTGTAATGTGCATGCATACTAAGTTTCATCTCCATGCGTGCTACCATTAACAAGTTGCAGTGAAGAAGTACTTTTAAGGTGCCTGTTTGTTGTTGTTCACAAATAGCTATGTGGTTGTCATAGAAACATGTAGTTGTCATGGAAACCAGGCAATTGCCATTAGTGAGAATTGCCTGAGGCTATTTGTTGTTGTTCAAACAATATGTTGTCGTTAAAACATGTAGTTGTCATGGAAATGATGTAATAAGCATGCCTACCAAGTTTCACATCTATGTGTTCTACCATTAGAAAGTTAGAGGAGTGAAGAAGTAAATTTAAGTGCCTGAGGCTATTTATTGTTTACAAGCATGTATTGTTGTGATTTTGATGTTTGTGATTAAGTTTCGTTCACATAGCTCTTATTTTTACACTGACACATTTGATGCCATTATTGTGTTTTTGTATACAGTAAACAATATTGGTTACAAACAAACAAGTATGGCCAGTGACTGATATGTACATTCTTACAAATTTTTTTTTCGTTTTTGAGTTATGGGTGTTGAATGTGAAGAAGAAGGAGAAGATGAGCAAAACTCTCTATCATAGCCCCATACATCTATGATGCTGGGTATATACTATGCCTATCCCTATATATTAAGTACTACCACACTTAGTGAAAATGCATGCACGCAATGTTGAACTCCTATGGGCTCGTATCCTTCCTCGGAAGCGTTTACTCACCAGTTTCAAAGGCTTCTCGGCACGCCTCGGATTCTAATTACGCCCCTCCCCCTCGGGCATTTCAATCTGGAAGACACTCGAATTCCGTCCTACCTATACTCAGAGGCTCTCGTATGCCATCTGTTTTGTTCTTTCCTCCGGTATGTATGTCAAAGTGTTCCAGTTGCTCTCAGGCTGGTCATGCACTGTTTGTTTTGTCTTGCCTAAGCAAAGAAAGTTTGCTCATTGGTCTCAGCCGCTCTTTCACTGGCCTTACACGTTTTTATGAGCTCTGCTTTTCTCTTTCATGGACATAATCACAACGTTCACGCAATTTCCACCTTATACGTACAGCAGTTTTACCCTGTGGACATGCCTTCGTTGCAGGCATGTTTACTCATAATCCTAAGTCTCACACAAGTCCTAAGACTCGGCAATTAGCCATGTGGTCCAATTTTCTAGCTCTCTGTGCCGCCGACGTTATCCGTGGATAGACATACCCTTCGTCGCTTTATGCACACGCCTCAGTTTTTGGGCTTATCTATTATTCCACGTTAGAAAATGACCGTACAATCGCAACCCATATAACACAAAATCGCTCTAAACAAAGCATTTTTAGAAGAAATCCTTGACCTTCATGCGACGAAAATATGTGGCTTGTTTGTAGTGCGAATAATGACTCGAGAAGCAAGTTATAGAATAGAAACACGAAGTACACACACGTACCGTAACCCTCGCGCATGCATGCCAAGTGTGTAATATATATAGGATTGAACTTTGGTGTTATAATCTATTTCAGAATAGTTCTGGTGCTATCCACCCGTTTTTATACTGTATACACAATCTTACAAACAGACATGATGTTGGTACCAACCAAACACGAGGCAGGATGTGTTTGCTTTACATTTAAAACCCTTCGCATTTTTTTGCATCCAGATTGATGGAAGACCCCTAGGGTTTACATCATAACCAGATGTTTGTTTATTGCAGACTCTTGCCTTGTACACAGGTGTTATTCCTAAGTGGATAATAAACTTTGCACTCTCCAAAGTAGCTCCTATGGTAAGTATCTGTAAAGTTTGTATGCTTTATTGAGGGTAACTTGGCAAAGATATGCCCTTGATAGCACTGTTTTGAATATTGGACTTTTGGTTGCATAATCTTTCCCAAAACCCTGCTGTATTTGGAGAAATTTGTTCCATTGCACCTACATACAGCTACCTCGATTTGCTGAAAGTGAACCCATGGACTAGCATCATTAATAGAACTTTCAATGAAACTTATCATGGTGACACAAACTAGAGAATACCATAACCAACATTGTACATACGGTAGCAAGTTAATTCACCCTGTCTGTGTTAAATGAGCTAATGTACTCATGCGGAACCAGCCAAAAGTAGCCTAGGCGATAGGATCGAAGATCGGCCATTATACTTATAGAGGGCAAACTGGAGAGTACGGGCTGGGAAGAGCTGACTGCCTTGTGTAAGCACATGTAGCATGACCGTTCCAGCTCGTGACAAGAGGGCATATGGGGAAAGATCAGAATAACAGTGCCCGAACGGTTTACAGTTGTGCATGATAGGGGTGAGGGAGGTAAGAGCATTTAAAACATGTGTTCGTGGTAATGTTCTAGATAGCCTAGTTGCAATGACACACAAGACAACAAGTCTCTGTCTGTGGTGCCTGCTTGTCAGATATTCCCACATGTCACATGGGTCTCCTTCCTCAAGGAATACGTCAAATCTTGTCGTGATAATAATTCGGTGCTGATCGGGTGCAGAGAGGGTACCGTCGTGAGTGTGAGGCATTTTTTAGTAGTTTTGGCAGTCAAAGACTATTCAGCCTGAGTGATGTTGCCACTTGTTTGTTGTCCTAGATCACTGTGTTCATTGTTGTCACTTGTTTCTTCACTTGCAAGTGGACTGAATTTCCACCTTCCAGGGTGGAATCTTGAGGGATCAACCCCAAGTTTGTACCCCACGCAGCAGGTCTTTCCATTGTAGGCATGTGGGGTTGGAGTGGGTTTGGTGAGGATCTGGAACATGGAGTGTGCAGTTTACTGGGACTGCCTTGTAGTACTGCTGGGCAGTGAAGCCACACTCTGTCTCCACGCTCAAATGCTTTCCCATGGACTTTCTTGTCATATCTCTGTCCAGTTGGCCTCTCTCTGACTTTGGTATATGCATCCAGGCTCTGTTTCAATTGTGCTGAATAACATGATTGTTTCACTTGATGTGGGTTTGGTGAGCCGAGGCATTTTCACTTGGCGACCATACATGAGGTAGAACTGGGTGAAACCTTTTGTTGGCTGGACACTGGTATTGTATGCAATACAGAGGCGTCTGATTTGTCCATATCCTGTAAGGTCCTGGTTATGCGTTGTTTGGGTGGTAAGGGGTCGTTTGAAATTTCCAGAATTGTGCATATTTCTTTGATGATATCGGATTCGAAACTTCGTCCTTGGTCTGAGAGCAGGTGTTTGCAAAGTCTTTTATGAAGCACTGGTAGTAGGTAGCAATTCCCAAGAACTGCTGCACTGCTTTCACTGAGCTGGGAACTGGCAGAGACACAACCTTTTCCATGTTGGCTAGGTCAGGGGTGACACTACTGCGGGAGATAATATGGCAGAGATACCGTACTTCAGGCTTGCAAAAAGAGCATTTGGAGGGTTTGAGCTTGAGGCCTGATTCACAAAGGCATTGTAGCACGGACTGCAGATGGCAAAGATGTTGCTTGAAGGTGAGGCCGAGTACAATGACATCGTTCAGGTACACAAGACAGCACTAAATCCATGAGACGTTGAAAAGTTGCTGGGGCATTGCAGCAGAGGTAACCAAAATTGGAAGAGGCCCTCCGTGGTGTAGAAGGCTGTCTTGGGGCGATCAGTATCCTCTATGTCCACCATCCACTAGCAAGTCTAGGGTCTACACCACTGTGAACTTGCCAGTATCCGCTTAGCAAGTCTAGGGTACAGAACTGGCCAATGTGTCAAGGGTGGTGTCAGTACGAGGTAATGGATAGGCATCCTTACGAGTCACACTGTTGATGTGGCGATAGTCTACGCAAAACTGCGCAGTCCCGCCTTTCTTCCCTTGGACAATAGGGGAAGCCCAAAGACTTGTAGACCTCTCGATAACCGCATTGTCGAGCATCTCTGCAAGGAGTGCTCTAACCTCCTCCCGCTTCTGTGGAGAAATGTTCCGGAACGGCTGTCTGATGGGCTTGCATCTCTTGAATGGACAGTGTGTCGCAGTTTCCCTATTCGCCCTACATCTCCCGAGTCCAGTGCAAAAACGTCTGCATAGTTCAAGAGCAGCTGATATAATGATTCCCCCTTTTGACTGGGCCAAGTTCTGATCCAGTCTCTTCAATCAATTAGCAAGTAGGTGTTTTTGTTGCTTGCTGTCCGTGGTCGAGTTATGTTGTTGATTGTGGCTGTTTCTGGGACGCTCTCTACCCTCTCCTGGTGGCTGGTATAGAGGCAAAGTGCAATTGTATTCAGCGAACTTGACCTGATTGGCATCCAGGTCGATAGTGGTGCGTTGTTCCCGAAGAAATTCTAAACCAATGATACCCTCGGCTGTCAAGGGGTTAACTACAACATCTATTGCCATTGTGTTACCTTTGAAGGCAAGATAAGCGTGCGCTGTGCTGTAGGATTGGAGTGGGGAACCGTCGGCTCCGACCAGTCTCAGTCCAGACGTGCAGTTCAAGGCAGGAACACCGAGAGACTCTGTCCCAAGTGTACTTGCGCAGCAAGGTCACCTCCGCACATGTGTCAACGAGCAGGGACATCATGACTCCGTTGATAGCATACCGGACGAAGAAACACCCTGTAAGCGAAACTGAAAAAACATTCTAGTTCCATTTACACCAAGGTAATGGTTAGACAACAAGTCTCTGTCTGTGGTGCCTGCTTGTCAGATATTCCCACATGTCACACACGTAAGGCGTGGCTTCCAAAATTAGCTGCCAGAATTGTATTACGGTGTGAGGAACGAGTGCACGGAATGCGTGCAGTAGCTCTTTAACAACTTTATAGAAGCAACTTTGTTATTAACCCTTAGCGTGCATGTGCAGCGAGGGTTATAGTACTTGGTCTGTGTGTGTCTGTCTGTCTGTCGGTCCGTCTGTCAGCAGCTATTCTCGCACTACAGGCTACGAGGCGGCCCATGAAGGGATACCAATGTCTTCAGAACTACGCGAACCTGAAAATTAAAAGGCAGATATGCCGTAAAAACAAGCGAAAAAGCCAATATGCATCCAATATGCATATCACACCAGCTTACCTCGACCGATCCGCTTGCTCTTTGTACCTTGCGGCACAAGAAGTCACCACTACGGCCGTGTATTGACTCCCGCATTGGCATGCTCTTTTATAGTGTAGCTAGCCCGTGTCAGACTCTCCGCGACCAGAAAGCATGGAGACGGCGAGTAAACGCATACTCATAGCCCGGCTATCAATTAGCGGTGCCGCGCATGCGTAATGGGGGTTTGCACTTCAGCGCTTTTCATTACGTATGTTCAGTCTTTACACTTGAGCCCGAGATGGGATATCCGTGGAGTAAATCGTTTTCAGAGCCATTCTGCCTGTGCACCATTATATCAGCGTCACATGGTCCTTAGGTTAACATCGACACTTTTTAACTGTAGCTAGGCTATGTAGTGTGCCTTTACAATAAAATTATGAAGCCCTAAAAAGTGAGATGCAACATCTTTAGAACTCTTCTGTTATTGTTAGTCCATTCACTAGTAAGTTGCAGTTGGCCATTAACAGAGTAGTCCACAGTGGCAGACCATAGCCGTAGCAAGAACTGTTCGTGTTTCATCAATACCAGGAGCCCAAGAGCGCCGCTAAGCAGTACGAAGGGGCACCCAACTCCTACAGTAATTCCGCTCAGCATTTGACAGTTTAGTGCCAGAGCGCTTATGCCCATATTTGGCACAGCTTGGGCAATGTTAGGTAATCACTAATTACAACTGCTAATATTCTGTAATGTGCGTTCCTAAGGCCATTCACCACTCTGCTTTATTTTGGCAAAACCACTTCGGGCACCTTCTTCTAAGACTTTTAAATGCTGTTCTATTCTGTTTGGCACTCTTATGTGCTCCTGTCAATACTTATTAAACCTGGCGACTCATTACTAGCATGTCCTCTTTATATTTTTCACTGCAGCTGATGGAAAGATTACACGTTGCATGTGTGCAGTACAATGACTGGAAGGCATCAAATAATCCTGGCTTCAAACCATGGTTACACCCAGAGCAAAATCTTCTTCCTTTAGTTAGTCCCCTACTGTACTCTGCTGTGCTTGTCTGAAGAATGATTATTTTCTGTATGCAATGTTGAAAACATTTGCATGTGTCCACAGCAAAGTATCGAGGTAGAAAGGCAAGGCAAAGCAAAGTCCACTACACCCAGGACAACTCTTCTCTTTCAAGGAAAAGAAGATGAGCTGCCCGGGGTGGAATTCGAACGAACGACAACCAATGACACTCTGCTTTCTAGGCGAGCGCTCTACCAACTGCGCTACTCAGCTGGTGGCCCAGCACATCGATACAGCATTTTAGGTGATCACACAGAGTTGCCACTCCAGAATGCAACATCATACTGGAGTGTAAGTAGCATCAGCAAGTGCAGGTATTCCTTTAGTTTCTCCTCTAAGCCTGTAGCTTCTGATTTTTTGCTGGTAGCTTTTAGTCAAATGCTTTACTAGCGCTCAAGTCACACACCCTTTTTAAAGATGCCACTACTATTAATAAACCAATTTACAGCCAAAGTTTTGGTTCAGGCGACAAAGCTCTAGAGCCCCCGGTCGCTAAGCTAGGTCCGGTAAGCTGGTTGTCTAGTCTAGGTCGGCTAGGTCTGGGCTAAGGCTAGGACTAGGTGTGAAGTAGAGGAACCTACAGAATGCAGGCACCTTTAACTACACCTTTAACAAGACACTGAACATAGAATGAGAATTCATCGTGATCTTGCGCATCCAACCAAACTCACACTAAAGTAGTCCAAATTCCAGTGACTGGCCACAGTCTCTGTAAAACCTATCCAAGTGGTATAAAATCCATCACTAATCATGACACTGCATACAGCAAAACCAACAAAACCAGTATATACTTCACACGGAGCAAAGGGTTCCTCGTATCTATGTGCACTGTTCTTCCAGCCTCCTACTGTATGCGCTAGCAATCAAAATGGGCGTGGCCACATTCTGAATCATATTTTGTCATGCAAGGCTCATGACCATTTTTGCGAAAAAGTTTTAAAATGCCTGCATGTACCATAGGACGCAGAGAAAGTCACTGCACATAATGGCGGAGAACTTTTCCCCCCTGCGCACTGGTTTTCTCTCCCATGGAGAATGTATGGAGAAGGAAAATGAATGGCCGAAAAAGATATCAAAAATATAACATTAACAACTGACACTGTGTTTCATTAGCATAAGTATGTGCATGTGCATCAGTAGAGCTCTCAAACTCACTCTGCCACTTTGGACAAGCTGTCTTAACTTCCCCTACAAGCGTATGCTACGAGTTTGATTTTGAAATGTCTATAGCTATTATTTTCCTGTTCATTGCAAATTGTAAGCTTGAGTAAAATACAAACATGGTTCTGCGCTGAGGGTTTGCACTTTAATGTTGGTACGATCAAATATTGTATTCGGCACTAAGTGTGGGTTTAGGACAAGCTCTTCCTGTTCCTACGGCTACCGTCACACATCTCCCTTGACCTTTCTTTGTGCAGCTGGCAGGATACCCTCTCTGCTGCTCTTTCTCTCTTCTCACTGCAGCTGTCACTCTTCTAGCTGCCTACTTGTACATCAAATCTGTCTCAGCTGTGCATTCTAAAACTTAATGTAGCCGTAGCTTTGGCTGTTGCTGCCACTAGGTATGTGCCTAGTTTAATATACGCGCAACTGCGTGTTCTACAGAGTCTCGTGGGGATACGAGGAGGTAAAGCTAGGACATATAAACTGTAAAATTAGTATCGCACGCTCAGAGAAAAGTAAGCATTGATCTAGCTCAGCCTATCCCTAGCCTAGTCCTAACCGACGTAGTATAGCATACCTTGCTAGCAATCGTAGCCTAGCCGACCAAGCTAGCCAACAGACCGATTTTGCTACCTAGCCAACTTTTCTTGTACCACACACTTCTGTAGAATTCACATAGAAGCTGTGCGCTTATTACAGTTGATCCCTTCACGTGACACGCGTAAAATCTGTTTTCTGCTCAGTAGCAGGCTAAGAGCTTTGGGTATGCCACAGTCTAGTCATAGACTGCTCTTCGTCCCAAACCCCCTTCATCTCCGCCCTGTTAATCGCCATGGAAATCTGCCATTGATTTCTTTCTCTGCCGCTCCGCCATCAACTTAGGAAGTTGTTCTAGGGGTCAGCGTTTAACACCAACTGATGATGACATAACGTCAGATTTGAAATTGTAATGGCTCAGTTGCCTCAATCCCTCTTGACAGCAGGACATTATCTAAAAATGAATAAATATTGTGTAAGGAGTTACCTTCCAAGATTTTTGTTAACTTCATGGGCTATACGTTTCCAATTATTAACCCTCGGTGCGCATGCGCAGCGAGGGTTCCTGTATTGTTGTGTGCTCTGTCTGTCTGTCTGTCTGTCTATTACCCAACATCTCACTTCACGAGCCATAAATCGCTCCACAAAAAATACCAGTATTCAGCATCTGGTATAGCTCGAAAAGTATGTATGGCTTTCTCTGAAACTGCTGCGTTCTAGAGTTACGGCGTGAAACACGAGCAAAAAAGCCAATGTGCTAACTTTTTTAAAAACAGGCTTACCTCGAGCGTGTCCCTCTCTCTGAAGGCACAAGATGTCACAACGAAGGTCGTGTATCGACTCCCACATGGTATCTGCTGCTGTAGCTCGGCCGTGTCAGACTCTCCGCTAGCTACTAGCGGGAGACCACGAGTAAGCGCATAGCCCGGCCTATCGATTAGCGGTATCGCGCATGCGCAGTTCGGCGAGGGTTGAACTAAACCCTCGGCGCGCATGCGCAGCGAGGGTTACAGTAGTCGATCGTTCTGTCTGTCTGTCTGTCGACGCTTATTCTGGCACTACAGGCTACGAGACGGTTCATTAGCGATACCAGCGGATTCAGAACTACGGGAGCCTGAAAAATATTTAGGCGATTTTCCTGAATCGAGAGATATGCAGTGAAAACAAGCGAAAAAGTCGCTCTGTGTACCATGGGGGCTCAGGAAGTCCCAACGAATGGCATGTATCGACTCCCGCATGCTATCTACTACTGTAGCTGGCCCGTGTCTGACTCTCCGCGGGCTACTAGTGGAAGACCACGAGCAAAAGCATACAAATAGCCGGCCCAGCCCATCAATTAGCAGTATCGCGCATGCGCAGTTCGCCGAGGGTTTGCACTTTAGTGTTCGCCTTCCTTATGTGATTATTCATAAGTTAACGTCCTATGCATTTATAAAAGAGCACAAAAAATGTGGCACTACCAGACGTCGTGCACGCATCCACACATTGCCTTACGCAAGTTTTATGGTGTCATTTTAACAAATCGTTTGCAGCAAAAAATTTGTGCATGACCATGTTTGATATTCTGGCATGTCAGCTACAAACAGGAAATGCAAAGGTTTTTGGCTACAAACAATTTGTCAGAGGCTTGCACATCTTCGCATTTTTAACTGTTATGGATATGTAAGGTTAAAAAATGTTCCTAATAAAAGGTTTTGTAAGGTCAAAGGCTATTTGATATGGTATTTTGTTGTACCCAAAATAGAGCAATCATATATTTTAATGTAGTACTCTGAGACGCTGAAATCACACCCCAGTTCTGCTGACAGCAATCAGCACAGTAAAGAAAACGACCTATGTGAGGATATGGAAGAACCACAGTCATTCTATAGAGATGAAGATCTTAATACAGACAAAAATGAATTAGCTACTAGCTAGCTAGAATTAAAAACTTAATATTTATTCTACTTTGTGCACAATTATTTTTAACTGCTAGAGCAAAGCGAGCCCTACAGTTCTTAACACCAAAAGCACTTTTATAAGTTGCATTAACACGATGATGTCAGCTGACTATCAATCTGCAGTTAGGCTGACAATCAGTCTGCAATTAGGCTGACAAGAGGATTCTACCGTGTTATGATACTCTAGCGCATGTACAATGTGATTCTCTCGGGATCCAACCATCACACACTAAGCATGGGAGTGCCTTTATATAATTTGTGTCGCACCTCCTCTGGTTATCCTTATAGTGTGATATTTCCGGACACCCGCTAATGGTGCAATGACATATACCTAGTCTGTTTATAAATATTTGTATAATGAAAAGCACTAAAGTGCAAACGCTCGGCGAACTGCGCATGCGCGGTACCGCTAATGGGCGTTTACTCCAGGTCTCCCCCGCTAGTAACTCGCTCAGAGTCTGACACGGGCTATGTAGCTACGGTAGTAAATAGCATGCGGAAGTCGATACACACCCTTCGCTGTGGCTTCTTGTACCTCCAAGGTACACAGAGCTAGCGGACCTACAGCAGCGTTTTAATCACGTCTAATATAGAGTATAGGTGGGTATCATGAGACAGGGGGTATTATGAGACACTCGCTCAGATCGAAGCAAAACTCACCCAAACTGTTCTGAGAGCGGTACTAAGTACGGATCTCATCTCACTGAAATGTCGTGTGTAAATATTAATGGTGTATGCCTTTTTTTACTATGATCTCATCTCACTGAATCCAGCAGTTGTGCGCATGCATGCCAAATATGGAATCGTGATCGTAGACTGTAATGCAGTGAGAAGCAATGCCATCTTGTTTTTCAAATATTGACGTTCTGTGCTTTCTTTTTAGCGTGTGTAAATGGTGTCCCATAATACATACATGTGTCTTATAATACCATCAATACAAATTAACGAATATTTGTAGTTTATTTCTGTGTCAAAGTTTGGAATCTAGTGCAATGTATTGTAATGTTTACTAGTTCTAACTAGTAACATTAACTCCAAGTTTCATATCATTTCCACCTACTCCTTCCGAATATCAAGGCAACAAAAAATGGTGTCTCATAATATCCTCACATACTCTACGCATGCGCACCGGTTGGACGTCGGTCTCTCATGGCGTTCTAAACGCTCTCCTCGGCTCTGGTCAATACCAAAGCGTTTTGGTGTTTAGTCAATGTTTGTGTGGGTCTGTACAATCGACTGAGGCTCGACCTCATCTCCTCCCCTGCCCTCGTGCCCGGTGGTGTGCTCCCGTTTTTCAGCTGCTAGATCTGTCCACGTGGGAGGCAAGTCAAATATCCAGCGGTCGCAATCCATGGGTCGTACTTGTTCTACTCCCATGGTGAGAAGGGTAGCCTCTTTGGGGCTGATTGCCGACAGCTGGTATTCTGTGGCACATGATCTGCCGTGGAGTGGTGGTGGGAGTGGGTGTGGTCACTCGTGCCTCTAATAAAGTGTCCGTCCACATTCGGTCTTATGCGACTTCAACTACCACCAATGATGGTGCACAGTGAATTCTACAACACATCGACTGGGGACGGTGCTAGTTCTGTATTGTACAGCTAGATTTCGCTCCCTACACGTTTTGTCTGTCTTGTGTATGTATGTATATACCTGCCATGCCTTAGTGGGTCCGTGCAATGATTGATTGATAATGAATGATGGGTTGGGCCACGCAAGGCGGTCCGCGACCGTGCCAGTTTGTTGCTCTCGAATGCAGCAAAATCGCCATTTTAATTTTCTATCCTATGTACCGCTAAAGCTGTTTGTATCGCTCATAAGCCGCCTCGTAGGCTGTAGTGCGAGAATAGTCGTAGAGAGAGACAGAACGACTACCGTAACCCTCGCTGCGCATGCCGCCGAGGGTTAGTGACTGAGCGTAAGATCAAAAGAATTCCAGCTAGTCCAAACGACCTAGATGATGGCTTTGCTTGTGGTCTACTGGTTGTGTACGAATGGCCATTCTCGCTAACGGTAGCATGCATGGAGATGAAACTTGGTACATATATATGTGTATTACAGACAAGTACATGTTTCCATGACAACCACTTAATTCTTTAAAATTACTTCTTCACTCTTCCAGGCAACACTATAGGGATTTGGGTGTCAGCGTGCTCAAATCTGTTCATTAACCATGCTTCATGTATCCCATCCCCATCTTGTCTCCCTTCTTTCCTATATGCCTCTTTTAAATTCGCAGGAATTTTTTTATTTACTTGTTATCACTAAGTACGGTAGTGCTTAGTATAATAGGGATGGGCATGGTACATAGCATCATATAGATGTATAGGGCTATGATAGGGAGTTTTGTTCATCTTCTTTTTCTTCTTCTTTAACCAATATAACTAAAAAACCGAAAGAGATAAAGCCATGAACAATTTGGAGGAATGTACATATCGATAACCACATGTGCAACATGTGTCAGTGTAACTCACAATTGTTAAGAGCTATGTGAACGAAATTTTGTATACATAATGTAGTCAATTAATCACAACAATACATGTTTGTAAAATTTTATCCTTAAATTCACTTCATTTTCTCAAACTTTCCAATGGTAGCACGCATAGAGATGAAACTTGGTACATATGCCGTTTATATCATTTCAATGACGATTAGATGTTTCCATGACGACCGCATATTGTTTGTAAAAGCCTCAGTCAATTTTCCTTAAAACTACTTCTTCACTCCTCAAACCAGCACACATGGAGATGAAACTTGGTACACATGCGTATTACACCATTTCCATGACGACAACAGGCGTTATTAGATTTTATTGGGGGCGTGCCCCCTTTCACAGACATATGTACAAGGCAATAGGAAGCACTTTTGAAGTGGTCAGGCCAATGGGCGTGGTATAAGCCACGCCCCCTAAACAATGCCCCTCATGACGTTCTCTAATGCGGGTCGTCGCGGATGCGTTGTAGTTTCCGCACTGGAGGTCGCGCAATCGCAGGGTGGGTATAAAAGGCCACCCCCCACCCCCCCACAGGCTAGGAGACGCTATGATCGAGGCGCAGTCTAGAAAGCGAGGGTTAAAACTGGTCCGGCCAAAACCAGACCGGCCGGACCGCTTGCTACGGCCATAACGTAGTAGTATTATAAAAATGAGTGGAGACAAGTGAATTAAAAATACTGCAGATTTAAAAGAGTCATATAGGGATGGTATAAAAAGAAAGGGAGACAAGATAGGGATGGGATACATGAAGCATGGTTAACGAACAGATTTGAGCACACTGATACCCCCAACCCTATCACACAATCCCTATATTGTTGCCTAGGTGACGTATTAAACATTCACCATTACAATACTCAGAACTTATAATACGAAAAAATTCATGCTACTGAGTAACCAAAACCATACAGATACAGAGCCCAAGTGGAGTTTAATTACAGGGACTGTTGGGAGTCTAAAAACAACGGGCGAGGGGGTGAAAGAATGTAGGGATTGTGTGATGGGGTTGGGGGTGTCAGTGTGCTCAAATATGTTCATTAACCATGCTTCAGGTTTCCCATCCCTATCTTGCCTCCCTTTCTTTTTATACCACCCCTACATGCCTCTTTTTTGATCTTTTATATTATTGCTTACCGAATGAAAAGCAGTGCAAACCCTCAGCGCACTCATTAGCTCTCTTTCTTGTCATTCTATATTTTCTCCTTTTCTCTCCATGGTCTCTTCTTGAGTCTCTGACGCGCACGCGTAAGTAAACGCATGCGCCGTACCACTAAACCTTTGAGGGTAATTCGGAATGAACTTCAGAAAAAACGTTCTTCTTTGATTGCAGATCAACACCAGGGAATACTATAACCAACGCAGAGATACACTAGCCTTTACTCTCTGTCATGCCGAAAACAGAACAATTTTACATCGTTCCGTTTGTCCGCGCATGCGCAGGTAATTCGGAATAGTAGAGCTAGCTACAGCAGCGATACGTCTAACCTGTATGGCTTGCAGCGTACATATCCAGGTAAAAACAATATCCATACCCCACCTGTTCGTCCTATCACTCCGTCCATCTATTTTCATGACATGCTGTTATCTTATTCTGATCACCTTGTACATTTGGGCCACATTCTAACTAACAACCTAGATGACTCCATTGACATAATGAGGGCTGTTAAGGATCTCAATCGTAAAGCCAATTTCCTTTTCTTCCATGCTGCGGACCCGTTTGTCAAATCCTTTTTATTTCAATGCTATTGCTTGTCACTCTATGGATGTTGTCTGTGGTCGCTAAATTGTTCGTCAATTAATCTCATTGAGATAACTTTGAACAAAATTCTGCGCAAGATCTGGCACCTTCCTCCTCGGTCTCACACTGGAATTGTTCATTGTGTAGCACGTGTTAGTACTATTTCTAATCTGCTATATCATCGCTTTCAATCTTTTCTTTCAAGAGCTATTTCCTCCTCTTCTTCTCTGATTAGGAATATTTTTCATGAATCATCTCATTATGTTTATTCTTTTGCCGGTTACAATGTTTTGTATGGTCATCAACATGTTAGAGTATTTAGTGATGAAGATTTTGACACTGCCTGCACCATAAGGCTCATTCGTTCATATCATGGGTTATACACACCTATTGAATCAGTTATTGAAACTCTATCATGTCAGTGAAGTCTACTGCTATTATGTCACTCTTCTCTCTATGGGTGGTCCAGTGGTCGGTCCAGGAGCCCTAAGCCCCTGGTTGGCGACGGGATATAGTCCACAAGGCCACTGGTTCACCTGTCACCTACATCTCTTCCATTCTGCACCTGTATTTGGTGTGTACAATAATAATAATAATAATAAGAATAATAATAATACACTATTTTGCACATAAACAAAGCCGTGATTACTGTTTTCTATACCGTTACTCGCATAGGTGTGCGCGCGACAGAGCTAGCTGCGCGCGTCGCACGTCTTGGTATGCTACACTGAAACTGGCTGTGGGGCAGCTTGCATGTTCGATGTCTTTAGACTTCATTGTAGTCTGCTTTAGTTGTTTTAGATCGCCGTAGTCTGCTCTACTTCTAGCAGCCTATCGTCTCTCGTGGTCTCTTCCCAGCTCGCGCAG